CTGCTGCAGCTGCAGCGGCTCACGCCACTAAGCGAAGATTTTGGGGGTTTGCTGCGGGGGCTGCTGCTGCTGCGGTGTACAGACACCTGCCTGCTGCTCAGCTGCAGCCCGTGTCAGTAGTTTTGTTAGATTTCTTTTGTCGTTTGCTGCTGCGCGCTGCTGTTGGCCGCAGCACGAAGTCACCTTTCCGCAGCAGCAGCAGCAGCAGCAGCAGCAGCAGCAGCAGCAGCAGCAGCAGCAGCAGCATGAGCTCTCGTATGCTGCTGCCATACCTCCGCGGTATTTTGGGGGTTTTAAATTTTGCTATTGACTCGGCATCGAAGCGTGANTTTGCTATTGACTCGGCATCGAAGCGTGAGCTGGATAAGGAAACATCAGCAGAAACAGGTAAAACCCTAAACCCTAAACCCTAAACCCTAAACCGTAATCCATAAACCCTTGGGGGCCTGTCACTATCACGACTGCGATGGCTAGGGTTTATGGTTTAGGTGTAGAGCTTAGTTTGAGGGTTTAGGGTTTGGGGTTCATTCTTACTAGGGTTTACAGTTTACAGTTTAGGGTCTAGGGTTTAGGGTTTAGGGTTTAGGGTTTAGGGTTTAGGGTTTAGGGTTTTGTTCAGGGGGTTTGACGCCTTTTTTAGATTTATTTTCTTGGCATAGTGCTGCTGTTAGCGAGGAGGAGCTGCTGCAGCAGAAGCTGCAGCAGCGGCTGCCGGCGATTGCTGCTGCAGTGCATGTGACGGTATCCGCCTGTGTAGCAGCAGCAAACCTCGTGCTGCCCCCCCTGCAGCAGCAGCAGCAGCAGCAGCAGCAGCAGGATGCAAGAGGAGCTGCATATAGCTGCAGCAGCAGCAGCAGCAGCAGCAGCAGCAGCAGCGATGCTGCTGCTGCTTTTCCTGCTGCTGGTTCTTTTCTTTATGAGGCTGCAGACGGCTTAGAGTCTCCGTCTGCAGCAGCAGCAGCAGCAGCAGCAGCAGCNCTTTTCTTTATGAGGCTGCAGACGGCTTAGAGTCTCCGTCTGCAGCAGCAGCAGCAGCAGCAGCAGCAGCAGCAGCTGCTGCTGCTGCTGCTGGCTGCAGCAACCAGCAGCAGCAGCAGCAGCAGCAGCAACTCGCTGAGTGCTCCGGGGTTCACCTGACGCATGCAGATGAAGCCGTTCTTTCTCTGCTTACACAAATTCTAGATAAGCTCTTCTCCAGGTAAACCCTAAACCCTAAACCCTAAACCCTAATTCTGTTCTGCATAAACCCTAAAACTCCACTCATACCCTAAACTCTAAACCCTAGACCCTAGGACTAAACCCTAAACCCTAAACCCTAAACCCTAGACGAATCCGTAAACCCTAAACCGTATTTGCTAAACCCCCTACTCAAGGACGAAAGCCCTCAACCCTAATCCCCTAAACCACCAGCAACAGCAAACCCTAAACCCTAACCTCTAAACCCTAAACCCTAGAACACGCTTCTGTAAACCCTAGAACATCGCTCGCCAGCAGACAGCAGCAACAAGGATTTTTCTGCAGAGCATTGTTGCCCCCGATGGTCTAGGGTTTAGGGTTTAGGGTTTAGGGTTTAGGGTTTAGGGTTTAGGGTTTAGGGTTTGCGTGCAGCTTTCCCGAGAA